GCACAGTGAAATGCTAAGCAGTGCGTATTTTTTTCAGCTCAAAACAAGAAATTGGATTTCACTTTTCCGTCAACAAGTCATGTCACTGATATGCATTCTCTAATTTTTACTAATAGGGTGTGTTTTTTTGCATTGCAATTATTGGGATGAATGGTGTTTTGAAATATTCACAGTAGATGATATGCGGAAAATCATTTCTCTGTGTTCCTCAGTAATCTTAAGAAGAAACAGCCACACTTTGAGGTTCTAACATTGATTTTCATGAGTTAGGACTTCAGGTTTCAAGCATGCATAGAAATAATTCATCATGTTAAAGAGAGGAAAATTATCATTTCCAGTAACTGAGAGGGAAGTGGAGGGGATAGGGATAATCTGAAAATGAAAGTAAATCAGTAGGGAAAAGTGGAAAGAACTAAAAAATCCCCTTCATAACAAGCAATGTCAAAAGATGCTTGCCTAGAAGACACATATCCCTGATTATTTTTATACATGTGGTTACTATTTGGAATGTGTACATAAAAATATGTAATGGTCATTTTGAAAGTAACAGTATGAAACAAGTTGTGATTTTTTTATAGGCTTCAGGCTTAAGAAAAGGAGACTTACAAGCCAGTCTTTACTCACCAAAAATAAAATGTTATACACAATCCTTGTTAGCTTAGCACAAGAAGGTTCACAGGTGTTTGAGAACATTCGCAAAAATCAAGTAGATTTTTGGCAATGAATCAGCCTTGGTCACCCTGTTGGTTGACCTGTACAGTGGTACCTCAGGTTACATACGCTTCAGGTTACATACACTTCAGGTTACATACGCTTCAGGTTACAGACTCCGATAACCCAGAAATAGTGCTTCAGGATGAGAACAGAAATCGGGCTCCAGCGGCACGACAGCAGCAGGAGGCCCCATTAGCTAAAGTGGTGCTTCCGGTTAAGAACAGTTTCAGGTTAAGTACAGACCTCCAGAATGAATTAAGTACTTAACCTGAGGTACCACTGTACTGAGAGCAGGACAGGGAATGTGTGACTATGTTTATGCATCTTGATTTCTTGGAGGCTTTTGATACCATTGACCATGGTATCCTTTTGTACCTGTTCTGTGGGATGGGTACATAATCAGCCAGGAACAGCAATGCTCAAGCAAGCACATGATCAGCCATAGCCATCCCAAGAATCCTGTCCACATCCTCAGGCTGAACAAGCTGAAAGTCACCCATAAAAAACTGATAAAGGGGAGCAAAAGATAACGTAAGATATTTTAAGCCAGCACTGTCCACAACTGGACAGGGGCAAATGCAAAGTGCATTGAAAACTAATCACAGCAGGCTTCTCAGGGTTGTCCTGCTGTGAAAGGCTCTTCATCCTTCATAAATACTCCATGGGCAGATGCTCAGCAGATGCAATGATGGTGGAGAAGAAAGATTTCCTGGTCATTACTCAGCATCATCACTAAGGATTGGGTTGTAGAATGTTCTCTGGCCTGTCCTCAGTTGGATTTGTCACACGTATTTTGCTCTAAATCACTCTCATTGTTGTTCCCTTCTCCTGTGTTGCTGCCTTTGAAACCAGACCTCCTGTCTGCCTTGGATTACACTACTGGTTGCTGGTCATTCTGATCTTTGATGGCTGCTTCATAGAACTTGACCCTTGCCTGTTCTCCATCCATCCCCTCCATGAAATAGAAACCCGAGTGCTTAGGACTTGGCCTTCTGACAGCTTAGCTGTTTGTGTTATAGAACTATGGAAGGTTTGATGACAGCTGCTTAGCTTACCTAGCAAGCCTACAATTATCTCCTTCCACCTGTTTAATATGACCCTTCCCTGTTATGTCTAAGCTGCATAGGTGGTGATTTTCAGACAAAAGCCTGCTATTTCTCCCCTAAGTGACTGGTAACTGCCTACACTCCCTGTTGTATAAAACTTTTTTGAGAAGCTCTTTGTTGGGATGTTTATATGGCCGGATATATTGCTGTATTTCTATTTCAGTGTAGTTCAATTCAAAGAAGAGGCCAGACTTTGCATACAGGGCACATTACAACTATCCAATTCCTTGTGTAACATAGAATAATAGAATTAGTAGAGTTGGAAGGGATCCTGAGGGTCATCTAGTCCAACCCCCTGCAATGAGGGATTCTCAACTAAAGAATCCATGACAAGTGGCCATCCAACCTCTGCTGAAAAACCTGCAAGGAAGGAGAGTCCAGAACCACCCGAAGGAGTCCATTCCACTGTCAAACAGCTCTTACTATCAGAAAGTTCTTCCTGGATGTTTGGCCACATTTTCCTTTCTTGTAACTTGAATTGGATCGAACCCTACCCTCTGGAGCAGGAGAAAACAAGCTTGCTCCATCTTCCATGTGACAGCCCTTTAGATATTTGAAGATGGCCATCTTATCTTCTCTCCGTCTCCTCTTTTCCAAGCTAGCTGATAGTACATGAAATGTGGGGATAAATAGGTACCACTGTGGCAGGAAGGTAAACGGTGTTTCTGTGCACTCTGGCTTCCATCATTGTGTTCTGCTGCACCAGAAGCGGTTTAGTCCTGCTGGCCACATGACCCAGAAACCTGTCTGTGGACAAACGCCTGCTCCCTCGGCCTGAAAGCGAGATGAGCGCTGCACCCCGTAGTCACCTTTGACTGGACTTGACTGTCCAGGGGGTCCTTTACCTTTATTATTATTCATTAAATGTCCTTGGTAGCACCAGGCAAAATTTGTAATAGACCACATTTGAACTTAACAGCTTGAAGGCGGGTTCATGATTCATGCCTAGAATTATTCAGGGCAGCATTTGTGGTGGTGGTGGGGATGCAACTGCATTAATGAGATCTATGCACTGAGAGGCAATGACACGCAGTGGACAGAATGGTATGGATCTAGGAGACAAAGCTCCAGATCCCATGAAGGTCATTGGGTAGCACTGTAAAAAGCAGCCAAATGTAACAAAGGTCATTGTGAGGTTACAATGAAACAAGGATAGACCCTGTCCTGGCTATATCTCATTTTTGTTGTTGTTTAGTCGTTTAGTCGTGTCCGACTCTTCGTGACCCCATGGACCAGAGCACGTCAGGCACCTCTGTCCTCCACTACCTCCCGCAGTTTGGTCAAACTCATGCTGGTAACCTCGAAAAGACTATCCTCATAGTGGAGAGTAAATAAAAAGAATGAAGACTCCTAGGAAGGCATTTGAAGCGTCCGTCACAGAGCTGATCTAAGATTGCATTGGAGTTATCCTTTATTCTGTAGTTGTAAAGCTAGGGAGAATCCACTGATTCTGGCTGTAGGCCAATATATTCAAGCGAGCTCTATTTCAATTCACACTTGACTTTGATGTGATTGTGATGCTGAGCACACAGATATCCCCCAAAATAACATCTTGAAATGATGACTGGTTTGGGGAAAATCTGAATTCATCTGAAATGATGGTGCTTTTTAAAAACCTTTCTTCCTCTCCTCTCTCACCGACAAATGTAGTATCTGTAACATTTTGAGATCTGTATGGATTTATTTTTAGGTTGCGTCTAAAGTACTATTGGGACTATTAATGGTACAAGAGAACGCTGAGCTTTCTCGAACTCTGCGGCTGCACCGCAGACTTGCCCTTGGGCTGTAGGGGGAAAAAACCAGTGAATATTTATAGCCAAGCCCATACAAAATAAAACTGGTCACTGAAAAGGCAGGCAATGAAGTGCATTTCCACCTCCTGAATCCATAAGCATAAAAAAGTGCCTAAAACCAAAGTCAGACATTGGTCTATGTAAAGGGTAAAAGGAAAAGGGTAAAGGACCCCTGGACGGTTACGTCCAGACAAAGGCGACTATGGTGTTGCGGCGCTCATCTTGCTTTCAGGTCGAGGGAGCAGGCGTTTGTCCACAGACAGCTTTCCGGGTCATGTGCCCAGCATGACTGAACCACTTCTGGTGCAATGGAACACCGTGACAGAAACCAGAGCGCATGGAAACACCGTTTACCTTCCCACCACAGCAGTACCTTACGTATTGGTCTATGTAGACCAGTATTGTCAGCACAGACAGAGAGCATTTCATTGCTCTGCAAACCAAGTGCAACGATAATAGATTAATTTGTATTACAACAATAAAGCAGCATGGAAAGAATACTAAGAAAGGGCCAAGGATCAAACCAGATGTGACTTTAATCACATTTTAAATATTTTGTGCAAAACTAGCCACATCTGTTTTTGAAGAGCAGCCACAGGGGACTACAAATCTATGGTGTAGTCCATCTACTACCCCCCCAACCCGACCACACACAATTTTCTTGTGGAGAATGTCTACCAAAGTTTTCAGCAGTGATTATTTTCAGCAGAAAAATTATGGTCATTTTGACCCTCACTCAGGTAGAGAGTCAGACAACCTCCCATTGTGTCACACAATAGCTTAATGAAATCACAGCACCAGGGCATTTTCTTGAGGCATTTGGTCACTAACACTGGACCTCAGCGTCTTGTAAATTTAAGTTGCCACTTCAGAGGCTATGGGAGGGGGGGAAAGTTGCTTGTTGGGTGCCCAGTGTCATATTCAGTCACATTTTCAGTACTAAGAGTTATTCCTATTGTTCATAATTAAATAATATACAGGTAAAAGAGAAGATGCCATGTGTTCCTTCTGTTTTCTCATACTGAGCTGACCCTTCTCAAGTTTAATAGTTTAGACGAGCCATCATGTATACCAGTTGCCATTACAAAAATAGAGATCTTATTAAAACATTAATACATAGAGTTGCATTCGATGGTAGTTATACTCAGAGCAGATCCATTAATTTCAATAGGTCTGCTCTGAGTAAATTTTAACCAGCTACCATAAACACCGACATCGAATTTTGGGAGGCTATATGAAAAACCACAGCAGACCCTTTCCCCAAGGATTAGTCATTATGAAATTCACACTTTCCAGTTCTCCTCTGCGCCCCACCCCCCACCCTACCACCACCAAGAAAAGATTCATCAAGAAGGGCAAAGGAACCAGGCCAGGCAGGAAAGATGTTGCAGCTTCAGGTTTAATGACACATTGCTCCTCTTTGGAGGGCATCAGCATCTCAGAACATCAGTCGGCCTGGCTTTGCTGGAACTGTGGTTCATTCATGAGGCAGAAATCATGGTGATATTGCCTGACATTTCTGGAAATGCTGGATGGTAGAAAGGGCTTCGGAGCTCTATCTGACTTTCCTGTAGTAGTACACTGTGTGCGCTACCGACACTGCGGAAACAAAAGTGCAAAATATTGTTTGAGTTTCTCCCCCCACCTGCAAACACTTCTTTTTAAACATCTACATCATGCACTCAAGCAAGGCATTGACAGGACCCAAAACTGGCCACTCTGCCCTCATTCTAATGCAGGTTTCCCTAGACCGCAAAGAATTGCTGCTCCTTCTTTTTTTTTTTTTTTGTCATTTGTTAACAATGCCATGAGGATCATTGCTTTACCTCGTCTCCCTTTCTTTCCCCTTCTTCCTCCTCTCTGACCTGCCAACCCCCCTCTTTTACGTCTTCTGCGATAGGGAGGCCTGCAGCCACATCGCGTCATTTTTCTGGGGTTTTGGTGATGTTAAAAGTCTAGTAGAGGATCAAGAGGAGCATGTCATTCCGTGAAGCCAGCACAATCTGTCTCCGGAGATGGTACTTGAATTTGTGAAATGATGCTACCTGCTGCACTTTTACTTATAGGAGGATCTGGTGGTTATGAGCTCATATAGTTGATATGGCAACCTCTGTGCCTTAAGAAATCACCATATATGGGACAGGCTAATAGACTAACTTTAAAACAAACATATAACACAATTCAGCATCTAGTAACCAACATCAGCATGTATAATAATAATAATAATAATAATAATAATAATAATAATAATTTATTGGTTCATCATCGCCTTACCTCATGCATTCATTCTCTCATCCCAAACACCCATCTTATTGTACTTAAATTGCACCCAAAACCTCGTAAGCCTGGCATTCTAACATGAAGTTTCACTTTCCAGAACACGAGAAATTCAATTCTTCAAAAATCTTCCATATCATAACAAAACCAGTGTTTTATTATGCTGAATATAACCCATGTGCTTAGTAACCACTGAAACATTTTTGTGTTTCCCTTTTTCTTCCAGTTATTACTAACACTGGCTGTTGCAGCTGATAATAAACAATAATTTCTTGGTCGTTCCTCAAGGTTTTATCTTTCATACTTCCAAACAAGATCACCGAGAAATCCAATGGAAGCCTCTAACCATTCGTTTCTTCAATGTCTGTGGTAGGCTAAGCCACACTCACCTGACCAACACCTGATGTCACAGGATGTCAAGTGCAATACTGATAAAGCTACATGTGCAAATAACGACAAATTCAGCCACAGCTAGAATTTTGCACTGTTTGAATTTGACGACTTACCTTGGGCCACTGCTTTTGGCAAACTTCCACTTGTTCTTTTTCTGTGTCCTGAGTAGTCAGGAGCACTCCTGATGGTTCATTTGCATCCACGGCTGTACCTTTGGCACTTCTTGAATCTGGCACCTTAACCCACCATGCTGCTTTTGGCAGGGACCAGATACAGGAGCTCCCAATCCTTCTGACCTGATCCCTCCTGAAAATAGCACAGCAAAGAAAGCTGCCAAACGCAAACAGCACACACTGCAAATGTTTCTTACAGCTGCAGCTTTACCTTTCCTGTGCTTGAAATCATATGATCTCAGGTAACTGACTGCCCAGTGTGATCCACAGAGGGTTGGCCACTTTTGGATCTGGCCCTCTGGCTGAAAGATAATCACCTTTTTCCAAAATATTTTTATTTTAGGGTATAACTAGAAAATGTGAGTTACATCTCCTCTAATTGCCTGGTGATGCCAACACACACAGCCAGGTTCAAGGTTCTTGTATTAACTTACAAGGCCTTGAGAATTTGGGTCCAGGATCCCTCAAGGACCACCCAATCCCTCATATCACTGCCCAGTGGACTTTGTGGAAATCACTGTTAGTGGACCCCCATAGACTAAAATTCAGCTAACAGGAAAGCAACCACAGAAGTTTAAGTACTCGGGTTCTGAATATGCACCAACAGCAGCCTAGTCTGATGAATGGGAAAATGTGTTTATCAGCAGGGCAAAATATGTCTCATTTTTAATTGCAACTCAAGTAAGCATTTTAAGGTAGGGTGTCTCGCTTTGAATACAAATGAGTACTAACTACAAGCAGTGAAAATTCACAGCGCAGGCCCATTCTTTGCAGACTTCACCGGCATAACTGATAAAAAACATTTCACCACACATTTCTGCACAGAATATTAATCGTGGTAATCATGCCATGCATGGGGTGTGTGGGTGTGTGAAGGGAAGCTAGTGTACTCTGTGTGCACACACCCTACTAGGAGGGGGGAAATTTAGACCGATTCCTTTCACCCTATGCCCTTAAAGTTCATCTCCAGTTTTAGTTCAACAAATATCACCAGTTCATCCTTCTTTGCATAATGGCATTGGGTGAGCCTCTTGTAAAATCATGGAAGGCTCTACATGTGCACTATTTATAGGAACACCGCCAGCCATTAGCTTTTGACATAACAAGGCTTAAAGTTTGTGAGACAAGTAATGTTTTCTGAAGAAAGCTACTTATGTTAGTAAGCCAGCTAAGAAGCCTAGCAAAATTCATTCCACGAGGAGAAGCAAACTCATATTCTATATTTCACAAAGCCATCATTTATAAAAGGTGAAAACTCTTTTTTTGCCGGATTTGAAAAATAGTATTGGGATATAATGTGGGATGTTACCTTCCCTCCAAGTATATCATATGCCTTGGTGACCATGTCTGGATTCACTCAGTCCTTGAAGAACACTGGGAAATTTCAGGTGATTCAGAAGAGGTGGACAGATTGTTACCTGGAGCTGGACATTGGGAACATGTAACTCCCCTTCACTGGCTTATGCTTTGCTTCTGGGCCCAATTTCAAGTGCTGGTTATGACCTTTGAAGCCTTCTGTGCTTTAGGACCTCCTCCTACATAAGTCCACCGGCTCATTAAGATAATCCGTGCACACTCTCTTGTCTGTTCTATTCATATCTGAAGCATGTATCATTGGACCAGGGAAGCATCCTTCTTGGTGACTCTGCTTAGGGCGTCTAACCTTAGTCCCTCTCTGAAGGTCTTTTACCAGAGTGTTAACACCTTCCTTCTCAGGAACCTCTTTGGGCTCTAATTGTGACCCTCTTGCTACTTGATTTTGAAGTTATTCAAAATCACTTTCTGGTCTGTTGTGTTTTTCAAAGACACTTTTGCGGTTAGCTGCTTGACTCCGGATTTTATGGGATGTTTTCCCCTTCCACCCTTTGATATAATTGCCATTGTACAGTATTGGCTTTAGAAGTTCTTCTGCAGCTTGGGAAGCTGAGTTAAAATTGTTTTAAATGAGCAAATCGAGGCATAGCAGCCTTGTCGTGCAAGGCTGCTGCCCACTGTATTTCATCACAGATGAGTTAAGCAGGATCATCATTTGTTGTGGTTTTGAGGCTGCTTATAAAAAGGCAAAGCCCGCCCCCTGAACCTCAGGCTCCCAAGTGCAGGTTATGCCACCACTGCTAAGAGCTTGAGAGAAGAAAGAAACATCAAATGGCCCGAATCAAACGCAGCCGGAGCCGAAGCCTGACCCGCCTCCGTCAAATGCGGCAAAAGGCCAGCCATGCGGGTGGCTCTGGAAAGAGACGAAAAAGACGCCAGGGCAAAAGGAAAGGTAAGATGCTTACATTTAAGACTTCTATGCCATATGACTCCTATGTATATTCACATAAGATTATGCTCTTGGGCTGTGACCCTTCAAACATATTTGGTAGGAAGTAAATGTATTTTATCGCTATTTACTACAGCTCAACTTGGTTACATTTAATAACTGGTGGTGGTGTTTGTTCTTTTCCGGTACAGGTCGTGGTCGCAAGAAGGCGCGAAGAAGAAGACACTAAACTCTTTTCATCTTCATGGTGTTCTGTGCCCTTGATTTCAACCATCTGACTCACCAAAACCTTTGTCTAACAAAATGAACACAACAATCTTTCATGAGAATACCCAGGATAACTTCCTGAGATTCAAGGAGCCTGCAACAATTTGAACAATGCCACCTGTCAATAAAATGCTAAAATTTCATTCCTGTGGTTTCTCATGTGATTTCTTAACTGGGGAGAGGTGGCAACTCCTCAATGAAGTTGGTGGGTGAATTGCTAGGTTGCCATAAGTGGATATCGTGAGTGGGAGAAGCTCAGAAAAAGGAACTTAATAAAAAGTTTAGGAACTCTTGAGTTTGAGAGTTGTTGATTGTGTCAAAGCCTGTTTTGTCCAGTTATTATATGTGTGATGGGGTGGTTGGTGGTGCAGTGTCTGGGCACATGACTGCCCCACAAACCAATCAGGATTTTGTTTCAAAGACTTGCCACAGCGTTAGCTTTGAGCAAGCAAATCAGGATGAATTCTTAATAAAACAGGTCATCTGGAGGAGTTCTAAATCATGCTTAGAAAACAACTTCCTGAACTCCTGGTTTGCTGCTATATGGAAAAACTTCAAGCATGGGAAGTGCTTACAGCAAAATCACCCCCTGCCCCGAGAGAATATGCTGTTTCACAATATAAGCCAGCTGTGTAGACTACATATTCTTTATAATCCTCCTGGCTTGGATGAAACACCTCACCTGTTTGGACTGCAAAGGTCAGAAGCAAAGAAGAGCAGGCCTGATCTCTTACATCAGCACCTTGGGGATGTGACATTACTAGAAGCTTTGACATACAGACCTGAACTGAATTGTTAACAGGAAGGGGGGGGAAGAGATGAGTGGGAGCCAACCACAGAAAGCTGGCTTTTTCCACCAAGAATCCTTCATTATTTGTGTTTGCATACCTCCTTCCTTTTATATCGTCTGTCAGTAGTTTACCAGAAAATTGTCCAATATGTTAGCCTCTTCCCTTCCTGCTCCCTCACTCACTTGACCCTACTACTGGAAAATACGAGCCATCACTTTGGAGTGTGGTATCATCAATACGCTGATGATACAAGTCCTATTTTCATTTTCAACAAATCTGAAGGGCTGTGAGATGTGTCCTTCATGCCTTGAATGAATGCCTTGTTGTGGGCTGAAGTTTAATTCACAGTAGCTGAAGTTTAATCTAGACAAGATGGAGGTTAAGATGTTAGGCCAGTCTAGATCTGGCAAGCTGTTGGCATTACGTGTACTGGAT